TTGTCGTTGTGGCAGCAGTTGTGGTGGCTGGTCCTGTAGTTGTTGTTGAGCCAGCAGTTGTCGTTGCAGCAGCAATTGTGGTAGTTGGTCCTGTAGTTGTCGTTGGGCCAGCAGTTGTCGTTGTGGCAGCAGTTGTGGTGGCTGGTCCTGTAGTTGTTGTTGAGCCAGCAGTTGTCGTTGCAGCAGCAATTGTGGTAGTTGGTCCTGTAGTTGTCGTTGGGCCAGCAGTTGTCGTTGTGGCAGCAGTTGTGGTGGCTGGTCCTGTAGTTGTTGTTGAGCCAGCAGTTGTCGTTGCAGCAGCAATTGTGGTAGTTGGTCCTGTAGTTGTTGTTGAGCCAGCAGTTGTGGTAGCTAGTCCTGTAGTTGTCGTTGAGCCAGCAGTTGTCGTTGTGGCAGCAGTTGTGGTAGATGGTCCTGTAGTTGTCGTTGAGCCAGCAGTGGTCGTGGCAGCAGTTGTGGGAGTTGGTCCTGAAGTTGTCGTTCAGCCAGCAGTGGTTGTTGAGCCAGCAGTTGATGTTGAGCTAGCAGTGGTAGTTGAGCCAGCAGTTGTGGTCATTGGGCCTGTAGTTGTTGTTGAGCCAGCAGTGGTAGTTGAGCCAGCAGTTGTGGTCATTGGGCCTGTAGTTGTTGTTGAGCCAGCAGTGGTAGTTGAGCCAGCAGTTGTGGTCATTGGGCCTGTAGTTGTTGTTGAGCCAGCAGTGGTAGTTGAGCCAGCAGTTGTGGTCATTGGGCCTGTAGTTGTTGTTGAGCCAGCAGTGGTAGTTGAGCCAGCAGTTGTGGTCATTGGGCCTGTAGTTGTTGTTGAGCCAGCAGTGGTAGTTGAGCCAGCAGTTGTGGTCATTGGGCCTGTAGTTGTTGTTGAGCCAGCAGTGGTAGTTGAGCCAGCAGTTGTGGTCATTGGGCCTGTAGTTGTTGTTGAGCCAGCAGTGGTAGTTGAGCCAGCAGTTGTGGTCATTGGGCCTGTAGTTGTTGTTGAGCCAGCAGTTGTCGTTGTGGCAGCAGTTGTGGTAGTTGGTCCTGAAGTTGTCGTTGAGCCAGCAGTGGTTGTTGAGCCAGCAGTTGTTGTTGAGCTAGCAGTGGTAGTTGAGCCAGCAGTTGTGGTCATTGGTCCTGTAGTTGTTGTTGAGCCAGCAGTTGTCGTTGAGCCAACAATTGTTGTTGAGCCAACAGTAGTCGTGCTTGAGCCAGTAGTTGTACCTGCAAGTGCATTTTTGGAATTTCAGAGAAGCAATCACATGAAATACTTTGGTGATTTCTCTGGCCTATACTTGAGCCTAACTACTGACACAGTACAATGCGTTACTGATAACCTGATCTTGACTGAGGTTGATGAGTTTTACTGTTTTATATGTGATTTGTTGTTTTATATGCACCTTTAACATGGAATGAATGCTTTTTAGATTTTTGAATTAATTACAATCAGATATTATATTTTGCAATTTTAGGTTTGTGTCTAAAAATGCTATTAAACCAATATTGCTACAATGTACAAATGATAACGTTTTCAGCTCAAGGGGAGAGAGTGGCACCTGATGCTTTCTGCCAGCCAGGATTTATGTTTGTGCTCTTGTTTATGATTCTCCATTGTCCATGACAGAAACCCATTCAAGCATCAAATGCCCTCTTGGAAGTAAACCAAAGCTAATGAATCGGCTCTATACTACCTTATTTTAATCAAGTAATGATGATGTTTATGTTTTTATTAAAATTTTGATAACTTTAATTTTAAGATGGTTTAAGCCAACAGTCATAATTGTGTTCACGTTTATAATAAATGTGTTGTAACTTCTAACAACAAATAAACACATTTACTAACTGTGTAATTGTTGTAGTCTGGGCTTTCTTACAGCAATTTACACTGTGGAAATTACGCAAATTTTTCTAATTGGGCAACAATTAATAGTATTTGAAAACGAAATCAACAGCAGGCAAAAACATACAGCCAAAGATAAAACTTTCTTACTTACTATTGTTAAGGTTTGAATATTCTGGAAATACTCCTACTACTAGTGTTCTGTCTACTCTCATCCAAATTACATATCATAAGATACAAACAACCAAAGTCATGAAATTATCACTTTTAAATGACTTGTAATGAATACTTACTTTGTCCAGAGGAAGCATGAAAATATCCAAGCAAAAACATCAAGCAAAGGATTTTTCTTTCCATGATGACTGGTGTTGCTCTTCACTCCTCCAGTTACAGACAGGTATTTCTTCTGTGATTGCATGTTGTACTTAGTTTGTGAATTGCTCCTCCCTCAGCCACAGAAGGAGTGACAAGGTACTGGTGATAGGGGCTACTTTCATATAACCTGAAAAACCAGGTAAGGCCAGAGACAAACGTTTACAAAATATAGGTTACCACAAACAAAATTATAAAACACATGATACAACTGAAAAAATCTGCAGTGACCTTACACCACACAGTTCTTTAACAATTATTGGCAATTAGTGCAATTGCTTTTAGTAAGTCATGACTGGTTAGATTTGATATAGTCTTCACACATCTGGGTCTTTGTTCAAATGTTTTTCATCAGCGACATTATTTCTCTTTCTTTTCTCAGAGGATGACAGTTCATATTGTGTAAGCTTTAGCCAAGAAATGTGAACTGCTTAAACCAAGTACATTTACAGTTCATTAGTAAGTGTTTAGGGATGGGATGTGTTTAAGTTCAACACATATAATACGGATTACTAAAACAGAATGTGGCTGTAGGAACACATAAGGCACCACAACCTTATGATTAAGATTTTACATTCAAATTGTATTCAAATTTTTAAACAAGCAACAATCTTGATGCAGTTTGCTAAATAGTGATACAACTTGGAGGGGAATAAAGATTACGACAATAATATTAGGCTCTAATGTCCACGTGAGGAGGATGACTACATCAACTGCAAAGTGCTAATAACTCACAGTGGCAGTTAATAATTTTTGTGCAATAACTGTGAAGTTATTTAAAATGCTTTCACCAAAATCTGCCTGTAATAAAATGAAATTCTGTGTACACAATTCAATATTTAGAATACATTTTTTTTTCATCTGAACAACAGTCAAAAACTCCAAAATGTTTTTACTATAATAGAAAACTGGGAAATAAGCAAATATTAACATTTTTAAAAAAAATTTTTAAAAATTAATTATCACAGTTGCAATTACTTATTTTTGCAATGTTTGCTGTGTAGAAGGACCTTTGAACAGCATTTCCTTCTGATCTTAAATTAATAAGTTAATGTAGACATGAATTAACCTTTGCTGTATCTGGTTCATCAGAAAGTAAGCAAAAAGTAGGGCAAAGAGATGGAAATCTTTGGAAGCCAAACTGCACTACATTTTAACTTGGCATAAAAACGCTCAATGATGCTGCTGTGAAACAAAGAGTATCTTTTTGGTTTTAGAACCACTTTAACTGGTTTCACATGACTGGAATTCCATAAAAAGGAAAGTACACCAACACTGCGGAGTTTTCTCCAGTGCAAATACCTTTGCAATTAATGGGCTCCTACCCACATAAAACCATACGGTTGTCAAACAGGTTTTACAAGGGCATAACACAGGAGCTTCAGTTCAGAAACAGACTGTCTCCAATGTGATTCTTTGTTTAGGTGTTGGTACCCAATAGAATCTTCACACATGTGCTAGAGTTATGTGAGTTTAGCTTGGGTTTAAATACACTCGAGAGGGAGAACAGAATTGGTGGCATCACATCGTGTTAACTGCTCTGGTGTTATCTCTGTTCTCCTCAATCAAGTGTCAATAAATGCTTTAGACATCTTCCAGCAGCTCAAAAGGTTTCCATCACAAATTGGCATCACAAACAGGATCCCAAGAGAAATACGACTGGTAAATGTAAAGATTTCATTACTCATGTCTGTGTTTGAGGGGATTATAAAGAAAGCGTATGCTATATTTTTTTGCAGTTTGGCTGTGAACGTCTATGGCCTGAATAAGGTCAGGGTTCAATGTCCTTGGATTGTGACCAACAGACCTCCTGGCTCCTCCCTCTGGGGAAGGAGGCAAAGAGGAGGTACTATTGTATAATGTAGCTGATATATCTTACCATTTGATTTTGAATTTATTTGAATTTTACACTCTTTTTTTAAAATCAAATTACTGCATTGATGAATAAACAAACAAATTTACAAATATATATGAAAAGTTCTGCTTCAAATTATGTATAGTTTCAGGACGATAATTTTTCCCTTTTAATTTGATTCCTCTTAGTTGTTTAAATTGAAGTGCTCACAGATCATAGAAATATGTCAACTTTGATACGGGATCATGAGTTGACTTTCTTTTGTTTTAAAGGATCACAAACCAAACAAATTGAGAACTAGGCCAGCTTAATTAGCTTTAATAAGTAAAACCATGTATTGAACTTGGTATTTTTTCCATTTACCCTGTCAAAGTCTGACATGCTAATATGGATGGCTCTTGTTGTTTAAAGGTGCTACATATGTAAACTTGCCTTACAATACTGCTTTATTAATTGTTCATAAATACACTATATGGACAGGCATTGTATGATTTTACGTCAAAGAAAAATAAGCAGAAAATTAATCAAACAAATCAAAGGTCACTATGGTTCCTAAATGGAGCTTGTTTCTCCGGACAGATTCTGTGTAACACACACCTCGGAGGCTCACTCGTCCATTGCTGTTAACGCTGCTGCTGTAGCTAAACTGTGTGCAGTTAAATCGATATTGTTTTATCTTACGGAAAACGAAGGGACATCGCAGATGAAAAACCCTCGCAATATTGTGAAATTTTACGAAGATAACAAACCACAGAAATCCAGTGCGGGAGTGTTAGCTTGACTCTAGCGTTTGTTTTGCTATAGGCTACAGCTAGCTAAACAACACTGAGCAACGCTGTTATTTAATTTAGGGTGTATTCCTCTCCGTGCCCTCTAAAGAACTGAACATTTCGCAACTTTGCACACAGATCTGTTACACTGCAGTGCTTTGTGGTTTAAAAAAATGTCTGTCTACCGCAAGATGAATACCACATTTGCTAAATGTTGCTAACAGCTAAATCGTAACTGACTTATTTAATAATGTGACTGCAGTCCTGTGAAAACAGAATGGATAGAGACTTGTTGAGGCAATGCCTCACGTATCATGGAGAGTCCTTGTTCAACAAACTGAAATGTGAACAAACAGAAAACCCAGACTTCCAAGCTGTGGTGTCTGACTTGTGCAAGGCCACGAATGAAAGGTAAGGCAGACTTTTTTACCCTCTAGCTTTAGCTTCACATGTGGCTTTCACAGAAATCCACTAAAGCTCCCCTTGTGTCATGAGTATCTAGAAATTTCTCTTTAGATGGTTATGTATGTTTTGTTTCACGTTAACGTTATGAAGATATTTTCAAATTGTGTGTGAGATTTGTGCCACAACTGTGTAATACTAAAACTCAACTCATATTGTGCAGTAACATACACATGTGCTCCACTACTTGTCAAATATAAATAGAAGCAAGCTGTGTATATTGTACATACACATTCATGCATATATTATATATAACCACCTACTTTATGTATATCAAGTAACTTGCATTGCGTTACCTGTATTTATTTCAGCAGTCCTTGCATTCTTCCATACCTGCACCACATGTTTCCTTGTTTAGAACTTCAGAAACTGGTTGATCCGGACATTGTTATTGGTAATGTGTAGTGTGTGAGCCACTAGATACTAGAATCAAATTCCTTGTATGCACAAACATACTTGGCTAATAAAGCTGATTCTGATTCTTATAATTATTATTGTACAATCTCCTCCTATTTCTCCATCTCTTCTAGATGTAAAGAATCTCACCCATCAGTTCTTTTGTTTAGTTTTATATTCTATGGATTTTGACATATTGTTGCCCTCATATAGATATAAGGCTGCAGTTATAGCAATTATTTTCTGCAGGTCTTGAAAAGTCTTAAACAGCATTGAATTCACTCATGACAAAAAAGTCTTAGATTCCATTATGAAGCTCTTGAATATTTTTTCTTGTCTGCTATTATCACTAATGTTTTTTAATCTGATTGCTTCTACTTAAATAAAGTTAAACAAATTAATCATTTTTAATTGGTTAGTGCATCCGTCCATCTTATGTTGTTTATGCAGGTTGCATTAATTGACTCATTATATCATTATAATTATTGTTATATATTGCTAGCAAGAACTGTAAAAATTGTGCTATAATAATAGATAATTCTAGTTGATATTGGTATAAAATCCCTCAGAATCCCTGTTTTCAATATAAATCATTTTAAGGTTGTTTTAGTCAATCGTTGACAGTGTAATTATCTCAGGTTCACAATTTGTTTCCCCTTCTGACTGGATGTTGCAGTCTTTTGCTTTAAAATAAAGATGTTCCTCTTTCATATAGTGAATTTGCTGGCTGATGAAGGTCTGAATCCAAATGTTACCTCCAATTAAGTCATTGCTGACGGTGTCGAGTCATACAACTTTTTCTATTGCGTGATTGTATTTCTCTATGTATTTGGCCACAAGGTGTGAATTAGACCACTATTAGTTTGTCAAAAGAATATTTTAAGAGCTACTGTTGAATGTTGATGTTTTTTGTGCAGCAGGGGTGAAGATCAGGGCAGCCCCCTTGTAGAGCAGTTCATTGCCAGGAAGGCTGACATCCTGTTCTGTCCAGCATGGAAGACCGCCACTCTTCAAGAAGAAGAGCACGAGGCGGAGGAGGACGCTGCAGGTCGGTGTTGGTTTGACCGCATATCTCATGCTCCATCCACACTAAACTGTCAAATGTTTAGAATACGGTTTTTGTTAGATGTTAATGTGCATCCACTCAGTCCTGTGTAAACGCTCGTTTTTCGCCTCTTTTCAGCTGGAAAAGATCAAATCTTTGCTTGACTATAATGTTGAGCTCTCAGCTTATTAAACCAGTGTTCAGTCCCCTCCTTCTCTCCTTGTTTGCCACTACTGTTTTTTGTCATACAGCCAAATTTAAATAGAATTGTGCTCATGAGGGCCACAACTATCAATTATCGATCTTCATCAACAACCTTTTACTTTTTGTTGTCTATAATATGTCAGAAAATAATGAGAGATGCCTGTTATATGTGTCTTTAGCCCAGTTGTGTTGTCAAGACACCTAAACATATGCATGACAAAAAACAGGGCCAAATGGTTTGTGTGAAGCTGGAACCAGCTATTAAAAGAAAAAAAATACAACAATAATTATTCACTTATCTAAAATAGTTGCCAGTGAATTTACTTTTGATTGAGTATTTGTTAATTGACTAATTGTTGCAGCTTATTTACATATTTTTTGTTTCTGTGTCAGACAAAAGAATACCGATTATAGTAGTTATTCGATTGTCGCTTGTATCTGTTAAGCACACATTCATTACAAAGCTACTTTGCTGAGGTGCAAGTCAGGTCACTATTTTATGGTAAGCTACATGTTAATGACAGCAGCTGTCATATGTAAACAGCTATACTGGCATCTATAATGAGTGATCACAGAGGAAGTTAGAGGGAAGAGGTGGTTGGTTTCCTAAACCACACAGTCCCCCAATCATGAGTGTGAAAAAGCTCAGTTTTCCTCATCCTCACTCGCACACATAACTGGCGTTTTAAGATTTTTTTCACTCTGGAGACTGTTTTGGAAAAGCTTCATTCTCCACAAATGGCAGCTTAGTGTAAATGAAGGGCTAAAAGAGAGAGAAAATTTTTTTTTTTTTTTTTAAATTTAGGCTGCTTAATGTGGACATACTCTCAGTACATTCAGGGATTGATTCAGTTTTCCGCCTGTGCTCTCCCCAGAGCCCTATGCCATCATGCCACCGGTGGAGTTGTTCATGGAGGTGTCGTATGAGGAGAGACGATCCATGCTGTACAGGGACTTGGAAAGAGGAGACATCGTGGTGGGGAGGATCAACAACATAAGAGAATACGGCTTCTTCCTCACTCTGCTGTGCATGGCAGGAGGCCTGAAGAGAGACATAGAAGACCTGGAGTTGTCTGTGGGTTTACAAGCTAAAATAAGTGAATGCAAATGAACCATGTCGTGAATTTTGTCACAGATCAAAAGAAAAAGAAAAAAAAATTAGTCTACCATTATAGAGAGAGAAGTCTTGGATTGTCAGTTAGCCAGCCACAGCTAGTGCCAACTGTGCGGTTCTGTGAGTCCCTTAGTGACTGGCAGTGGGATTACATGATGTGTCTTTCAATGTCCAGACGGGGGACAAAATAAAGGGAAGATATCATTTTCATAATCATCAAAACATTCAGTGACCCCTCGTGCCCCTTTGATGGGAGCATTGCCCTTTTGTTTCTCCACTCATTTTTCAGTTTCTCAGTCACCCGTCTGTCTCACAGGTTGAGATCTGTAAGCAAAGCATCATGACTGACATGACTGGTGAATACCCTGCTGTGACCTTAATGTGACTGATATTTGCTCTCTGAGAATCTTGGTTCAGAGGGAGCAGTTGGAGTGGCAGCAAGTCACAGTCCTATACTCCTCGTTTGGAGGCATATCTAAACTATGCAAAGCTCCTCATCCATCATACCTTTTAAATGAATGCGATAGACTTAAAAAATGCACGTCTGCAACTCTGGATGAGCAGGAAACACAGTGCAGTTCCCTTCAAAACAATTCCTCGAACTCTTTTTTTCACAATGCTATGTAATCATCTTGTTTCCTCTTCTAAACTAGTCCAAAAGCTGACATCCTCCTTCTGCTCCCCAAACCTCTCCAGACTCTGTGCTATTGTTGTTTATTAAAGACTAAAATGTCCCCCAAAATGTAACTAAATATGTTTTCTTTTCTACTTTCAGGCTCTATGTCACATCAGAGAAATTCCCTCCACTGGGAACCACGATGATCCTCTGTCCTACTACCAGATTGGGGACTTCATCAGAGGTTAGTGTCTTTTTTGGCTTTTGGTGGGTGAGACTTAAGCTTTACACAAGGTCTACATAAAGATGAAGCTGGCTTGTGTTCCCTAAAGTTATTACAGGTTGACCATTTTTTCTATCATGCAGTTTTCAGTTGGGGTTTCATCACCTTCATCAGTGTCCCAGTATCATTTACCACAGCTCTTTTCAGAAGGCATTAAATTGTTTTGCAGTGCACAAAGCCTTGTTCAGACCAGCATGAGCACAGTGTAGAAAGTTCAGCTCCCTCACTCATTTCAATAAGACCAATGTGTTGGCACGGTGGGGGATGCCACTGCAAAGGGCTTCTGCAAAAAATGAAATAAGGTAAAACAAAGCAACATTGTTGTGAGGCGGGGAAGAGTCATATTTTACTGCAAAGTAGTGTGACATAATCGGACATTGCACTAATCAGATTCTACTGTTTTTACCTTGTGATCATCAAGACGGAAGATGATGAGGGCCGCCATATTTTCAGCGTAAAAACCTCCCTCCTAGCAATATCAACCGCTCTGCAGTGCTTTGCATCTGATAAGCGCATACAACACGCCCCCACCAATGCAGCGCCTTGTGCTGTATTTTATTTTTTAATAACAGGTTGTTTTTGCTATGAATGCTTGGTTAGCTCCACTGAAAGATGCTAATATGAATGCTTGTATGGATTGTGGAGATTCTGCTGGACTTTAGACTCCATGAGCTAGAAATGTGGATGACAGTGATCCCTCTCTCTTTCTTGAACCGGACCTTGTTTTACATATGACTGCATGTTGTAAGAAAAGCAGTCATCGAGTATTTGTGCGTGACTGACACACTTACCAGTCAGATTGCCCACTTGAAATCCAGAGCTCATAAAACACCAAAACCTGATTTCTTCTGTGAGGTCTTTGCTCTTTTGGTCTATCCAGATGGATGACAGACAAAGCTCTGTGCTTTCTTGTTCTGCAGCTGGAGTGAAAGACATTGACCGCTACCAGGAGAAGATCACCGTGTCCCTCCACCAGGCCTCTCTTTCTCCCAGCTTGGAGCACATCAAACTGGGAGTCATTACGCGGGAGGAGCTGCCCGTGCACTACAGGTAACATCACAACGTACTACACTGTTCTCCTGAGAAACCAACACTTGATTTAAACAAACTGTGCAAAGTGAATTATGATTTGTCTTAAATGGTAGTTTAAAAATTAATTTAGCATTGAATTTATATCAGGATGAAAGGATGTGAGACACAATTTGATTAAAAATTGTCATATCAAAATAATAAACCAGTTCAAAAATAAATTTACATGTTGCCTGTTGATTATACAAACAGTTTCATTCCGTCTTGTTGTACTTCATTGATTCTGTGCTTTATTTTAAGTAGATCTGGGATTCTTGTGACCAAACCCACCAAGCTCACTATAATCTTTTGTTTAGTCTCTTCTTTTGCAGGTTTGCACAGATCCAATCAGTGTTCAGTTCTAGCATGGTGCTCTAATCATGTTGGTACCCTCTGAATGACATGAACCAAATACCGCTGCTAAGTTCTCTCCTCTCAGTCGTAGCGTTCGCGCAGCCAGTGACTCTAGTGAGACGTATGAGTGTATACTGAAGAGCTGCCACGGCTACCACAACCCCTCTGTAGTGGACTACCTGTTGGAGAAGGTGGGAATTAGCGACACCCACCCACCATCAATGATGAGAGGACTACAGAGGTAAACATGTCGACTGGCTGACTTCTTGTTTTCCAACAAATTGAATAAGCTGCCACAACATTTTGTAAATTTAGCAACAAGTTTCCCATTTTACTCCAAACTATTGATTCATGAGACTCTCTGGGTAAATTTGTGGTTTCTGTGGCTCCATTTATCGAAAATGAGAACCCAGAGCAAAGAAATAACAAGTGCAAGTCAAATGTGCTTCAGGATCTGGCAAACAGAATCAGGAACATTGACAAGTCCTTTCTCTTTTGAATAATTTTTTGTGAATACAACCAGTTTTCTTCAGAAAACCTCCACTAACTTCACATAATGTCAGGTACATGCCATGAAACCTGAAAGCTGCCTAATGATATTTTCCAAACTCTTGAGATAATACTCAAACAGCATAGTTTACTGAATGTTGTGTCAGAGAGTAGCCGAGGCAGAAATCCAGTGAAGGATAAACAGATGATTTTGTTGTCTGTACTTCCTGTGGTGTCATGAATGAATGACAATGAATGGAAACCTCTAACATCAAAAACCTCTTTGTGTCTATGAGTGTTTACATGTTGGGAGACTTTTCTTTTAGAGATAAAAAGTATTCACCTTGTAGGAAGTAAATAGTGGTACCCTTTAAGAAAACAGTTCCTACGATGTTGAGGGAGGATTGTTTTGAACCTTAGCTCCTTTTCTCCACAGTAAACTTTTTCAAGAGGAGGATTTCGCCTCAGCAATCAGGAAGAAGCAGTCCGCCTCCTGGGCCTTGAAGTGGTAGAGCTTAACTTTTTCATTTTGACCACAGCAAATAGATGAACTTTTTAACCTTGCAACTAGTCTTTCTCCCTCTGGCTTCTTTTCACTTGACATTAATTGAAATGTAATATTTATTCTCAGTCCTCCATGTCTTTACTTTTTTTTTTTTTTTTTTGTATTCTCAGTGTCCGTGCAGGTGTGGACCACTTCAAACATGGTCGTCATGTGGAAGCCATGAATGAGTACAACAAAGCCTTGGAGATCGACACTAATAATGTAGAAGCACTGGTGGCGCGAGGAGCTCTGTGAGTTTATTCTTATTTTAAGTCATTCAACCTACTTTTAATAGTGTAATGCATGTGTTGTATAGTCATACTCAAAATACATTGACTTTATTTATTTTTATTTTGGTGAATATTTTTTTAAAAAAAAGTGTTTTTTAATGAAAAATGGTTGATGAAAATGTTTTCTACACCACATATAAAACTGAAAAAGGTGGGCATGAATAACAAAGAATGTCCTAGTTACAGAGTATGCACCAATGAAATTGGAAGAAAGTATGAGGAACAATTTTTCGTATACAACATCAGTTCCTGTCATAATTTCTTTGTCTGTGTAGCAATAAATACCTGTCTTTGGCTCAGTGCCTATAAAAACACAACACTTTTATGCCTTTTAATCCGAGTGAAGCACTGTTATTATGAGAGAACAGGGAGGTAACTCATTTATAAATAACCTAATAGATGAATAGTACATAATGTTGCACACATTTATTGTTAATATTTACATTATTTTCTGTTTTATTCATTTAAACTGCAGCCAAGACTTTGTACTACCACTGTGGACATTAGTAATATATTAAAATTCTAGTTAATAATACCATTAGAGCAGGTTTTAGCAGTTTAAAATAAATTATTCTCAGAAAAGTCAGTCAGTTGTGATAGTTGCTGTAAATAGTATGATTGGATTCTCCTTTTGGATAATTTTTTTGTGCTTACTGTGCGTTTCCATCCTGGCTCAGGTATGCTAACAAAGGCAGCATCGTAAAGGCTATAACAGACTTTGAACTGGCTCTGGAGAGCTGCCCAGATCACCGCAACGCCAAGAAGTACCTCTGCCAGACACTGGTGGAGAGAGGAAAACAGTAAGCAGTTTCATTTTGTGTATTTGACACCGCTAACAGCTCAGTTCACTTGGGTTAAATGACTCTCTCGACTTTGGCTTGACTTTATGTTGAGTTCACAGCAGGCCAAGTTCAGAGCCAGGGCTGCAGTTTAGCAGAATTCAAAACGGGGATGAGTTTGTTAGTAAAATAAAAAGCAGAGATGGTAGAGAGGGAAGTGCAAACAGGAATTTTGTTAATACTGTTTTGTTACTTATTAAAATTCCTGACATTATTTACTCAGAAGTCTATTGTTTGTGTGCGTGTGTGTGTGAAGGCTTGAAGAACAAGAGAAACTAGTTACAGCAGAAGGATTGTACAGGCGAGCTCTGTCTCTAGATGACTCAAACCCTGAGGCACAAGAAGCCCTGAACAAGATCACAGACACAATACAGGTGAGCGGGCCACAACACACACACACACGCACACACACACGCATGCACGTGGGGTTTGGGAAAGTCAGCAGGTATGCACTAAGTATTTTAGGCTTAACCACTAAATCACATGTTAATGAGCATATCAAGACTTTGTTACGCCTATATTTGAATGCAGTGTCACGTATGAAATCAGAAAAACAAATACAGCAGGTGAAGCAAGCAAATGAACATCACTCAGTGTTTTTGTGGCAAGGTTCTTGGTCCGTGGTGCACACTAGCTCACTAGAATCAGATATTGAGCAGCTGCTTGTTGCAGGTTTAAATTCAAATACTAAAGAAATGTGTATGAATCTTACAAGTCTAAGTGTATGCAGACCAATGTTCAGCAGACAGTTTTCAAGATAAGATAACATTACAATGAAGCCGTAACTAACCTAGCATCACGCCAATGCCTGGTAAACCTGACCAAACCTGTACGTTAACACAAGGAATTCAGATAGACTTGCAGTGTGGGGCGTTGTGGGTGTTAACATTTTCAGCAGCTAAATCAATAAAGCAGATACAATCTCCTGTACTGGCTGTTTTATGAGACATTTTGTCAGTTTTCTAAGATTAGAAGATCATTTTAATTTTATACAGATATAGCCTGTGAAAGTGGTCCTGAGCATTAACCAGTCATAGGAAAGAATGCCTTGTGTTAAACAGTTAGGATTGACACTATGGTGCGTCTGCCAATGGTTAACCAGTTAAAGTTAGATTAAATTTAAAGTTAATGATTTATATCAAAACGTGAATCATTCTTACATCAGCTTTTTGTGTATATTTACAATATGTCACAACTTTAAAATAGTTAATGTGCAACATTAAAGTCGATCAATTTTATGTAATAGAGGAAAAAATGTTATCGGCTCATAAATCATTTGTGCCTTAACTGCTCACCAACCATCCAGAGACTAAAATTTCTTTATAGGACTTATTGAAATAACAAAATAAAAAATGTACTTTCAGCACTCGGGTAGATATAGTCGCCTTTCATAATAATAACCACACTATCATAACTTTTTATAAAGGCACTGCACGTGTTTTGATTTATTGAGGCTGACTAGACGTCTGCTCAGGTCTAAGCTTCTAACATACTAATACTATACAGTATATCGTGGCCCATTAAGTGTACTGTTTTTGCAGTTAGTGTACAAGAAATAAAAGATATTTTATCAAGATATTTATCAACATGTATTGTGTTTTTCATTTTTTATATCAACATGAAAATGAAATACTTGCATTTATGTTGATGAAATCAAATTTAAAATGCCGCTGCCAGTGAAACAGGCAGGGGCAACCGGAGCACCATGAAGTGCTGTCCATGGTGCTGAACAATGTCTGAGAGCATTTGCGTGGCCATAAACATGTATTATGTACAGATACTTTACATACTGAAAGAAGTCACTTTTCTTTCTTTTTTTTTTTTTTTATACTATGAACACCATCCTCTTACACCGTGAATATAATCTTTGTGCATAAACACACACACACTCCTAACATGTGGTTTGTAATACTGATGAAGTGTTTTGGTGTGTGTGTGTGTGTCTCCAACCCTGGGACTCTGCCCTTTGACCCTCCGACTGCCACGGCCTTGTCACCTGCCTCTCGGGGGACGGAAAAAACAAACAAAAATGAACTGCACAATGACAACAACTCCTCTTCTGGACACTGGGCGTGGTGCCGCGTCTTTGGTCCAATACGGTAACGTTGACACCTTCTCTGTCTCAATGGGGAACAAATGCTGTTTGTTTTCTCTGCACATCTCTGCCTGTACCTCTGTTCATCCGTCTGCTTGTATGCCAACTACCTTGCTCTTGGATCACACCACCTTTTCTCTGGTAAATATGTGACTATCCGTATATTCCTCTGTCATTCTGTCACCTGTGGTCTTTGATTGTGACCTTTTTTAAACTTTTCACTTTCCTGTTCCTCCCCATACCTTCTAACTCCGACATGAATGACTGAATAAATAAATGAATGAATGACTGAATAAATAAATGAATGAATGACTGAATGCCATTTTCGGTTTTTTGGTTGCATGTTTATGGGTCATGGTGTGTATGTGTTTGAATTTGTCTCTGTGGGCTTTTGCCTGCCATTGTCACGCCTTGCCTTGCCTCGCCGCGGCAACCGTGAAGAAATCGATTCGCCTGCGAGAAGAAGCACTGGCTAAGGAGGAAGTGAAAGCTAAGAGCAGCCAAACCAGCGCTGAGAAATTGCGTAAGATCTTAAAAGAGGAGAAGAGGTGAGTTGGCTGTGATCTTTTAAAGGTATGGCAGGTACATCTACTGCCGGTAAAGGCATGTGAAGCATCTCATAACGAAAACCGGCCGTTTGATCAGAATAAGATAATCAGTGGATCTCTCTTTTCCTCAGGATGAAGAAAAAACGGAAGAGATCAGCATCTTCTTCATCATCATCCTCCACTTCCACCAGGAGCTCCTCTACTTCTTCATCGTCCTCCTCCTCTCGCAAGAAGTCCAAAAAGAAGAAAAAGAAGCGTCGGAGGTCTGAGCGTGGAAGTAAACGCCATCGTAGGATCTCCTCAAGGGAGAGTAGGAGGAGTGAGGAGGGTAAGAGCGAGAAAGACAGGAAGGAAAAAGATGAGGACGAGGTGGAGTGGTATCCTGCACCTCCCAACACCTCTGCCACCTTTCTCAACCAGGAGGGAGGCCCAGGGTTTGAGGAGAGGGATGAGGTAGAAGAGAAGGACGCAGAAGAAAGAAGAATATCTCAGCTTTATTCTTTGTCGGCAGCTTCAGAGAACGAAGAGTCTGACTCCTCGCGTAAAGAAAGAAAGGGAAGGGACAGAGAGGAGAGCAGGGCAAGGAGAAAGAAAAGCAGTATGAGTAGAAGCCCAGACAGAGAGAAGAAGAGGAGCCAGAGCAAAGAGAGGAGGGATAAAAACAGGGAAAGAGGGAAGGAAGATAACAGGAGGAACAGTGACTCTAAGATGAGAAGGAGCTTAGACGAGAACAGAAAGCGAAAAGTATCCTGCTCCTCAGCTGACTCTGAGTATTCACGGAAATCTAGTGTCCGATCTGAGTATTTGGGAAACTCTGGTTCTGCTTCCAAACACTTGGTTAGACATGACCTCTCTAAGAGGAACTCATTTGATGGTGGTAGGTATGAGAACAGAGGGAGGGATGAAATTTGTGAGGTAGAAGACGTAAAAAGAGGGAAGGAAAGTAAAAAGGGGAGAGAGGAGGAAGAGAGAAGCAGTAAAAGATCAGAAAGTGCTGGAAATCATCATGAACAAAGTGGTGGTGTGACCTCAGTGCCAGGGGTAAGGCCTAAAAAAGACCTTCCTGCTAATCTGCTAAATATTTTCAATCAGATCGCCCAGTTTGAGAAGGAGAAAGGAGGAAGGCCAAAAAAATAACTCCAAAACAAAAGACCAGAATATGCCAAATACACACGTTAAAGAAAAGAGACTTTGAAATGGATGATTGTACCATTTATTCATTCTCTGGACCGTGCATCAAGATAATACACCTGAGACACAGCCAGATGTGTTGCTGATTGAATGTCCCAAGATGTTTTCCGTTACCGTCAGTGTTGCAGAAAATTTGTCATTTTACTTTGAATTGTCTAATTCTTTATGGTAGATTTAAGGCCTGTAGTCAACTCTGATGATGGCTGGATAATAGCTGGTAAAAATGAAATAAAATTGAAACTATAAATAAAATTGTGAAAATACTATCCCAAATAATGTGATAACATCATATTACTGTTGTTACCGGTGATCATTAGTGTAATTAATTTTTACCTCTTATATCTTCTTAAAAAATAACTTTACAAAATAATATTTTAATGTGAGAGTATCAGTGACTAAAGATATTACATCTTCAGTCAATATTGTTAAATTAGCTGTGTAATTTCCTACTTTAAATGGTCTTTTTTTTCATACATATTGACATTTGGCACTTTGGTGTCACATCAGTTGCTACAGGCTTTAATATCCGTTCTTTTTCGTTCATCTTAAGTTCAGACTTTTTTCTGTCAAAGGAGCTATATGTAAGTTTTTGCTTTTGGTGCATAGCCAACGTTAGCATTAACAGCTGTTTACCTACCAGTTTAGAAGAAACGTTACAAGTTCAGTATCAGACTTCATTCCTTTACCTGCCAAGAGCTGTCTCCAGTGGTGGAAAGCAACACCAGTGTTAACTCTTGTTTTGCTTCTTTTTTTTTTCTCTCATTTCTTTTACTGAAGTTAGCACGCCAAGCAGCTAACCCTGGTCCGACCAGAACGTCTATTCACTTTCCGATACTGAGTCACTCTAGTGTCCAGTGTGCCCTTAACATACACATTATATCCTATATAAGCTCTTGGCAAGCAACCATCACCACCACCAACTCCCAACAAGAAACCACGTTTGGCGACAGAGAAAACTTACATACAGCCCCTTTAAGAAGATATTGCCTTATGTTTACTGCCTTGTGCCAGTTTGTGCCAGTTTCTTCCTGTGGCTTGTTAAATCTCTTCCCAGACAACCTGACTGTTAGTTCCACGGTACATTTTCCAGCTTTATACAATGCAGATGTTCCATCTGTATTCCAACTCATTTTCTCTTGTTGTATAATGAACTCCGTTGAATCAATAAAGCATTTAAAATGTTAAAGCTACATGTCATGTTATTTAATTCTGTTAAGTCTTATTTAAGTTTCATGGCAATTTATTTTATACACAGTTGATCATGAAAAGGTTGTTTAGTTTTTCCAACTTTCTCCTTTTGGTTTTGTGAAAAGATGCATTTGGTAAAAAGTTTGAGAGGTTTAGTTCAATAATAAATTGTAAACTCTGGAACAGAAATCGACTGTCAACTATGTCCCCTATACTAATCATTGCCCATTAATATTTAACTATTTAATTGAACAGGAATACAGCAACTTTTTATGATGTTACAATATTTAAGTTACATGATAATATAATTACCGTAATCCCAAAGCTTTGATGCAACATAGATGAACATTAAATTAGGGCTAGATGGGGTCCAACAGTCTGAGCCCATGAAAAAAAAAGATTAATAAAAGAAAAAACTATTTTTAAGGTAGATCATAGCTAAGAACTGATACAAACAAAAAGAACTGATATGTTGCAGTACTGCAGTACTGAATATTTTATTTACACTCTGACTGGTTTTAACTTTAAATGCCTCATACCAGAAATGTACTAAATTCATATAGTTAATTTAACTGTATGTCAAACAAGCATCGTCATCAACTAGAATCCAAGGTAAAACACAAAACCATTAAAAAAAGTCAAAGTTTTAAGTTTTCATTTGCAAAGAGCTTACAAATGTGAGGGCATAGCCCATGATATTGTAAATGCAACAGTGCAGAAAACCTTCAGTCCAACTTGGTGGTGGATATATTCAGCTGTGGGGCTGTTTCAAGCGACTTGCACAGGATCAGCTACACACCTGCCAGACAGAAATACCACTGTATTTTGCAGAGGCATGCCATCCCTTCTGGCTCAGTAATATGTATGGAAGAGGATTCATTTTCCAGCAGGATATTGACCCTGAACATGCATGGAAGCTACTGTAACCAGCCTGTTTGAAGTCTAAGGAAGAGCAAGAATTGCTGGCCTGTGTGGCTTTCCCTCCGCACTTACTTGACTTGAACTTAACTGGAAAAAAAAAAATCAGGAAAAGCCCAAAAGTAAAAAGGGGAAACACACAGAAACATCACACAGCGCTGATCTGGGATATCATCAAAGGGCTGGTTCACACAAATGACAAAATCAACATATTCTCATGTAGCGGCTCTTGTGGTATCCAGCTTGTTATTGATCTATGTTTATTTCTGTCTCTACCCAAATACAATAGTGGGAGTGGAATTTTGTTTGTGTTCCTCAGATTAAGTATTTCTTTGGCAGGAAGTAGTTCCATTGAAAAAAAAAAACAGTGTATTGTGGGGATCATTGAGAGTAACTGGGATATGTCTGAAAAGTCACTGATGAGTTTTTAACCATGCTGGCAGCTCGAGCGGATGCTGTGTTGCTGTGTCAGGTTGTCAGTCCACCTCTTTGGCACCACAAATGAAAATAAATAAACTTCTTTTGTTTGTATGGGATAGGCCAAAGCTATTTGCCTGGCTTGATGTGACAAAGTGCGAGTGAGAAAACTGAGCTTTGATCTTGGTAACGACACATGATCTTTATCAGCAGAAGAACTTTGTTCTGTTGCCTTAACAATGTTCAAAATTTCCATTATTTTGAGCGTTTTTTGAGGAAAGCTCCAGAAAAAATAGAAAGAGGGCTTGAGAGGAGATAGTTTTGTCTTTTTATCTGATTTGGGTGAGGTGGCCCAATAGTGTTATATCTGTTGTATGAAGAAGACAAACTGTAGACCCAAATATAAGGACATTTTTGTTACATTTTGTTAATACATTCTCTGACTTTTTTGCTTAATGGTAAAATGTCAGTAGAGTTTTGGTCCAGGATGTATATTTCAATTTTTTTCATCCTTCAACTTAGCAAATTAAACCAAAAGTGGCCTTGTGGCTTATTGGTGCTTTAAGCTACTTGGTGTCACATATTTGATTTAATAACTGGACACACACACACACACACATACACCAGTGGCAGTGCGACCAGCCGTGCGTCTCCCCCGTGCCAAAGTAGCTTACTTTAGGCTTAGCTAACAACCTCTCGCTTTCCTCCTCAATCATTACTGGTCCCATCATCAGTGATGCAGCAGAGAGGCTACATGTCGCAGTCTATCTTGTTAGGGCAGATTAACCACTAATATAGAGGCAGTAAAGACGCCTCTTCATCTAATACTGTACACACAGACTCCTGATCCTGTACTATCTGTCTCAGACGCCTGACATCTTAATCTTTATAAATTCTGACTCCAGGAGATGCTGCAGTCGTTCAAGCTGGTCTCACTGAGTGCTCACTCTGTGGGTCATCATTAGACCTATAAAGAAGCACTGGAGGAGTTTTTGGTCCTCAGCAAGACGCATCACTGAGCACATGGATTATTCTGGTGCCATTGTGCAACCTAAAAATTCCTGGTATATGGATTGCAGCCTGATTTCACACCACACTTTCAATTAGAGATGTCATTTTTTTTTTTTTTTTAAACCTTGTCCAATAAAGCATCTATTATGGTGATATGAAAAACAAGAACTATATATTTGATCACGCATAAAGTAAATGTTTAATAACTATTAGAAGAGAAAGTCTGGTTTTAATCATTTGTGGCATCTGAGCCCTGGTGGCTTAAGTGAAGCTACAAAACTTAGCGTTCACTCTACACAATACCGCAAAGAGAACAATGACAATATTTTGAGTAAATCTCTATGTAAATTATATCATTTCATTTTCCTTGTGGAGAGGTTTGTCCGCCTCAGGCATAACAATCGCTCAGGTTGAGCTAAAGAAGGAATGCATTTCTCATCACAGTGTGTGCAGATGCGTCCGAGCTGCAGTTCTGCAGCTCCCCACTGGAGGGCAGTGGAACACTGTGTGTGTGGACACCAGCTGCCGATTTTAGGAGAGAGAACAGAACATATACTGCTGCAGCTGTCTGCCTTTGTTTGAGCAAGAAACTGCATTTTATATAGGATTTATATAGTATTTTTTTCATTGAGATCCATCTGTGAATGAGCCTGAAACAGAATGATGCGCTTCATAAACAACATTGTTTTACTGGTTTTAATAAACATGTAGCCTTTGTGATCTCCTAAGCAGGGGTGCTGCTAGAAATTCTGGGTCCTTGAAATACACTTTTCTTGGGACCCTGAATCAGTAATATCATATACACTCAGTGGGGAGTTTATTAGGCGCACCTAGCTAAAACAAATGCAGTCCTGCAATAAATCTTACCTTCACTGAGGTTATAATGTTCAGTGTTTATTGAAACCGTGTGGGGGAGGTGTTGATTACACTTTATGATAATTTTGGAGGATGTGGTTTGTGGTGCTGTTATTTTTTCTGTATTTAACCTAGCCTATACCACTCCTAGAGTGGACAAAATAGTTAGTGCATTAATTTTAGCGAGAAGTACATAATAGACTGCCCACTGGAGTGTATTAACGATATAATATCTATAATTCCAGGCCCTTCTCCAGGTCTGACCCTCTGATTTGTTCAAAGTATTTCTCTCCATTTTACACCCCAGCTCTTGAGGTTTGTTTTGTTAACTTTTGGGTGCATCAAAATTGGAAAATCGAAGGAAATCGTGTTTGTGATTTTGAACTTATTGTCAAAATTATACCAAATCATGGTCTTGAAATAAATCTTATGAGGCACTATAGAGGCGTCAGAGCAAAACTCTGGAAATCCATTTATTATTTATTTAGTTAAAAAAGAAATAAAAAAAACAAGAATTAAACATGAAATAAAAACTATGTGCAAAGAACATGTGTGGCAAACAATGTACTGAGGGACATTAGGTAAGAAAATAATGATAGGCAAAGAAAAAGAAAGTCCTGCAAGTAATAATTATCTTCTTGATTAGTAAATTAATTGTATTGTCAGTAAAATGTCAAAGTATTGTGAAAAAATGTCCATCACAGTTTCTAAGATCCAAAGGTGACATATTCAATTCCTTTGTCCAAACAACACAGTTAACTATCACATAAGATATAAAAAAAGAAAAAGTTAAAAAAAAAAAAGGAGGAAATCTTCACATTTGAGAAGATTGAACCAGAGGGGTGTTTGTTATATTTACCTGAACATTTATACATATTTATAGTAACATTTTAAATCCAAATAAACCAGCTGAAGCTTTGGAAAAGCATCTTATATATGAATGTAATGGTGAGTAGACCAGCATGAATTCAATTTATCCACATTTCAGACATGAGTAAACAGCAAATGTGTTTCCTGTAGATCATAGTAATGAGTATATGGTGTAAATTATGAGGCAATTACCTTTTAAGGAAAGCAAAATAACACTTTACTGAAAAGACACAAAACTATATTTAGTTGCTGTTGCTGCTTTTTGCCTCACGAAGGACGCCACAGTTATCTTTCTGTTTACCACACCATCGTGCAAATAACGCATTCACAACTCGCTCAGGGAGGCACATAAGCACATGTTCATGTATGCTGTAT